AAGTATAGCGTCTATGTGGTCCTGTTGTGTTTCACCCTCCGGAACCAACCACACACATCTGTAAAATAGATATGCTAGACTGGTGACAAAGCACTGACATCTACAGGTCAGCCATATTAGTACTTTGATCAGCTGTTGTTTCATCGTTGCGTTTATTAACGCCACTGATGCAACTGCAACTTCTCCATTCTCCTCTACTTTGGGTATCTCTCATCCACATGATTTCACACGAATTCAAATGCATCCTTCTACCCTGGTCTTCTTTGTATTCTTTTTAAATGGGTACCAATTGATAATTCGTTTTGTCCATTTGTTGTCTCTTATTTGTGTTAAATGGCCAAGCCAAGAACCCAACACTTTTACTTGGCGTACCATCACAGAACTTCACTGGAAAAATGCCATAACTTGCTGGGTATCTACCACGCGTCGTTATATAGCTTGTTCGGTAATAGCTAACTTTTCTTCATATTAGCAGTGGTATTTTTTCATACAACGAAACTGGTAACTCAATGAAGTTTTGGTCATAGACGATGCTATGTTAGTGCTGGAAAAAATGCTCCGCAACTTTGTCCTACCAACTCGATCTTTTTTCCGCTTAATTCAAAAGCAAAACTCTCTGTTTTTCTGGGTTGTTCATTCCAAGCAAGCATGATAACTGACGCGAATTCAAAGCAAATTCTCGAAGCTCATGTCGAACTAAAAAAAAAAAAAACACACACACACATCCCTTGACCATTCAGTTGTTCCTTTGCGGACCTGAAGTTCAGAGGATTAGCAAGCTCATGTCGTTGATACATTCCATTAATGCTTAAGCCAAAAAAAAGCGTAAAAAGATGGAATGGCACAGTGGCAGTATTAAAAAACATTTCGATTTTTGCTGATACGAATACCCAGGCCGGCAGATGTCATAACACTAATGTCCAGCAATATTTTGAAGTATATCTGTATGCGCTGAACTTTGGCACTAAAGAACAGACGCAAATTTCATGATCATTCAGTTGTCAAGGCCAACCTCTCTCCTCCAGCCCAGCAATCTTGGCAGCAGGCCAGTGGTCCAAGTGAAAGCAATTTGGCAATAATTCGAAAGTGAAAGAAGCAACAAAAAGTGTGCTTACTTGTACAGCGTGCTTAACAAAGAAGGTGCATAATTGCGGATGATCATTTCATCGGATCGACTGCATTTTTCGATAGTCAACTGCAAGTCGGCCACATCATCCACATAAGGCAAATGTTTCAGCACTGACAAATTATCATGCCTGACAAGAAAAAAACCAACATAACCAGCAACAGCTCACGGCAAATAACCGATTTTGCCTGAGAATTTCGTACGGCATCACTCATCAGTCCTAATAAAAGTAGCAGCATTGTGCCGAATCCGGTCCTCGTCTCGAAAATAACGGTATTTCCCGCACTACTGCTATAGTATGGC